ATTTTCGCTCCTCGGGATAACAGGAGACTCAACTTTTTCATAAAAAATCATGTAGAGAGAGTAGTAAATTGAACACTTTTTGCTTATGCCCTGCGAGAGCTACGTAAGAATACAAATGAGCAGTGCACGTTTACTGCGTACCACAACCACGACGCTATTTGGGTAAGATACGGTACATATTCTGGAGTAACTCTAACGGGGTACACGAGGTATCCGTGCTCCAGAAACATTGACTTGGAATAATCACATTCGGAGCTTCAAGGATTAATTGCTCCCTAGATATAACTTCTTGTTATCTGTAACGTGCACGTAAATTATTGAATTTTGCCGTTTTGTAAGGAAAAATCCTCATTCTTTCTAGTCGTTACGGCGCACGTCACCCTGGTTATAATCTGGTTGCTGCTGCCACACATCACAAATTATTTAAGAATGGTCCCTACCATGTGGTAGGGAATGGAGCTGTAAGGATTTACTAGCATTTTCCTTATACTATAAAAGCTCTCAAGTGTCTTAAATTTAAAATACTATTTAAAAAAATACTTATTGTAAAAACCTATTATAATTTGATTATTTATTTCTATACTAAACTACTTCCCTCGTACAGGATGTCACATACTCTTTAGATATATTGTACCAACTTTATAATTTGTGACATGCAATAAAGAATTTATGTAATTACGACAAAAAAATAAAATACCTATGAGAAGCCGGGGCGAACCACTGGTTATGCGCCCCACTTGGCTATTCCGCAGCTCATTCAGTCAGATCCTCAGTAATTATTTTGTTGGAAACATTTTCTACTCTGTGTGAATGTTTGAACATAGACTGTTATGTGCATGACATGTCAACTGCATACTATCAACGCAATGGCAACTACATTGGCTGTACGAACTTAAACAATGAATGTTTTTTCTATGTGTTTGTATCATATCCCTTAGTCGAATACTAGAAAGTAACGGTGTGGTTATAACCGTTTATTTTTCTACATACCGAAGCCATGACGTTTTGAACATTCGAGTTTATTGTCTTATTTAGTGACGATATTAGGCTTTATACAACAAACTTTGAGTATTAAACCAAAGGAGACGGCATCGCATGGCATACCCTCTGTAAAAGGTACGAGAGTCCGACTCATACTCGTTATATAAAAAAAGTTGCTCCGCGTCGTGCGTCATTTCGAAGGGATCGTGCCAGTAAATCGAGCTCGGACAAAATGCCGAATTGCAGTATATTTACATAAAATAAAAAACAATCAAAAACGTCAAGTGTACAAAAGGACAATGTGACTTTTCATCTGTGAGTATTTTTAACATAATAATATTAAAGTAATAATATCATTAAAACTCGTACTTTGTGAATATTATCGTCTAATACCGAGTGTGGCCATCATAGTTCATAAAGTGAAAAATAATATATTTTTAAATAAATATTATTTACTACACAAGTTATATGTATTAACGAAAATATATTTCCTAATAACTAAATCAGTTTGTGATGAATAATAATCATTACATATAGATGTGTAGTGGATTTCGTTAAATGATTTATATATTCAGCTCAATTTTAAAACGATACTGAATATTATATAATTAAATATAATCGATAACTAGTATTAATTAAAATATTATTTAAAATACAGGCCAAATAAGTCAAATCGAAACTTGCTTCCTCGCAGCAAAAGTGTGCAATTTTTATAAAAATAAACTGGTATCACTGCAACCAAAAGTATTGCACTACAGTGATGAACGCCGCAACTTTAGCTATCGATAAGTTAATTAAACATGCGGGTTTGTCTGCCGAACCGGTTTGTAGTTTTTATTTAGATTTTATAATAAAGTATTGCAAAAAGTAGTAAATATATATATATATATATATATATATATATATATATATATATATATATATATATATATATATATATATATATATATAGCTTGAATATTCTGACTAAAATAAAATTATTTATTTTAGGGTGGGTGATAGCGGTGATTGCACAATATCGTCTACATCGAAAAAAGAAAGCTGGATGTTGCGGCAAAATTCCATAAGTTATCTCGAAAGTCACAATTCGAAAAAATCCTTATATAGCCCGAACTAGTGCTACTCCCACTGCGAGTACGAGCCAACACTTAGGCTACGGAAAATTAGAATGAAAAAATGCCTTGACATAAAAAACAATAGCATAAACAGGCTTCACAAGTTTGCAGGAAATACTATGCACTAACACTTAACTATTACTCACCAAAAGCCAATCGCTACATAGCGATAGGCTTTTGGTGAGTAAAACTTTTGGAACATGTTTGCTTGCACCCGTACATTGACTAAATGGTACACTACCATCGATTGCCTATCGCTACATAGCGATAGGCTTTTGGTGAGTAAAACTTTTGGAACATGTTTGCTTGCACCCGTACATTGACTAAATGGTACACTACCATCGATTGCCTATCGCTACATAGCGATAGGCTTTTGGTGAGTAAAACTTTTGGAACATGTTTGCTTGCACCCGTACATTGACTAAATGGTACACTACCATCGATCGCCGACCAGGGTTTACTCAAGAAGCGCTGACGGCATTAAAATTGAGAGCGGAGAGTAACCCTGATAATTTTTTTTATTGTACCTTGGTAATGGATGAAATGAAAATTAAGCAATTGACAGAATACCATGCTAGTATCCAAAGGCATTATGTATATTACCAAAATGTCTTTTAGAACTGGCATGGTACTCCGTCAATTGTTTTATTTTCATTTCATCTATCACTAATATACAATATAATATCTTGTCAGGGTTACTATCTAGTCTAAGTTTTAAAACAGTTAACGCTTTTTTTCTGTAGCCAAGTCGGCCATAAATTGTACTGTACCACTTTGTTATCGAATGTGATGAAGGCAGACCAATTTCAAAACTTTTGATATTGTTAAGCTTTCGGTGAATAGTAATGTAAAGTTAAAGCAAAACATCTTTCTGGGGAATACTTAGCCCTAGGTAGATGTCACGTTTTATTTTCAAGCAGCTGTCTGCTTAAAGTTCACTTTATTAAACTATTATATAGTGTAAAACTTTTTTGTTTTCCTAATTTATTAAATATTTTCCAGAAAGTTCGTTTAATCACTCTTGAAAATCAACAACTATTTTTAATTAGCGGTTTTGTGATGGAAGCTTTATAATAAAAACAAAAACTTGGTTAACACCATCTAAGACGATAAACTGATAGGACTTTTCTTTTCAAACAATCTGATTTTTAAAATAAGTTAACTAAACCTATGTCGATTTGTTAAATGTTTAAAATTTTATCCTGCATAATGTAAAATAAACCTGTAGCAAAGTAATAAACTTATTTTCAGTAAGTTTTTTTCCGAAGAACATTTCTAAATACTTTAAAAAAAAGAATTTCAAATAACATCTTGGTATTATTTATCTATGTATTACTTATAATCAAATAAAAAATTATGCGGACTATGGTGTTTGTTGTATTTGTTATACGCCTTACGTTGCTTACGCATTTAGACAGCGCCATCAGTGTATCGACGTGTACAATTTGATGGTATGCGTAAACGTGATGAACACAAACACAAATTTTGTAGTGTGCGTTTATAGTGACACGATTTCATTTTGCACTTGTAGTTAAGTTTACAGTTGTGTGTTTTCTTGCGCCCCCCTAATGTTGACAGAATTTTTGTTTAGGAATTAAAGCGCATGGCCTCTCCAGTTGGTAGAATACTCAAATAAAACAAATTTTCTCATTTTAAAAGTGAAAAATAGAAAATAAAAGTAATAAAACTATATAAAATAAAAAAAAAACATCATAACGAAATAAAATCTTAGTAATATTTCGAATCTATGAAATGGCAACATAATACACACATACATAAACACTCACGCCTGTCACCCAGAAGGGTAGGCAGAGACTACGGACTTCCATTTGGCACGATCCTGACATACCTATTTCGCCTCCTTTACATCCAAATCCATATATCTACACATACATGCTCATCAGTTAAGGGTACTTCTAATGTGGCCCATTTTCAAAATGTTGCCAATTTGGTCGATAAACTTTCTTCTATGGCGTCGCTTCCCGACTCTGCCGTTGGCAACACTTTTCACAAACATCCGTGTTAGTCTTTGCAATTCAATTTCAAAGTCACATGTAGCGAAATTTTGTAAAAAATATCGATTCTCGTCAGTTTTTGTTGATTTTTAGAAGAAAAGATCAGGTAAGTGACTAAATGTTATATGCATCGTATACTAGACTGACCTCGTAAATATATTACAAGACCGGGGTAAATATAAGAAGCCTTGATGAAATTTTTTTGGTTATTCTAAGTTAGGAAAATACTTCGCATTGTTTGTTACCGTAATAAAAAAATTACAAAAAATCTAGAAAGAAAGGTGTCCCTCTGTTTATTGAAAAATAATTAGTACACATTTTTTAGTTTTAATTTTCCTACAAAATTTTATTATTAATTTACAAATATTTGAAAAAATGGATAGCCAAAAAAACGTGAAATACCACTTACTAAAAAAATTAGAAAAAAGCAGTTGATAATTTAGCCGACTTATCTGATTTATCAGAGTATGATTCTGAAGATTACCCGTGCTATGCTGATAGTATACATACTCCTTCTGATAGTTATTTAAACCAACCAGATGATTGCATAATAGAGCAACGTCTTGAAAAATTATTTAGTATTGAAGATAATCTTAATGTCGATACGCTGGGAAATGAAGCCGTAGAAGTACTCGTAGATGAACCCACTACACAGGCATCAAAATCATTACTTTCAATTTTATCTAAACCACCATCAAAAGAGATAGTTGGCACAGCTATGGCAATCAATTTAGTTTCTGAGCAAAATATTAGTAATAACTAAATACAAGTACAAGAATCATGCACTCAGGAAAAAGACAGTGACTTATTTGCCATGGAAAGTTTAGTGGAAGATTAACAACAAGAGTCTGTATAAATTTCACTTCGTGAGCAAGATGATAGAGAAAACATGATTTACAATTTTTTAGAAGATGGCCTGCAGGACATTCAAGCTCCTTATGTAATACCCAGGGACCGGTCTCAACCACGTGAATGGAAGACGGTGGAGAAAATCCATGATATACCTATTTTTGAAAAAGTTTTTAAATCCAAGGGCAATTACACCCATAAATCTTCACCATTTGATGTTTTTGAAAGGTTTTTCAGTGATAAGCTGATACAGATAATAAAAACGTGGATATGCCCGTCAGAATAACAGTAGTAGTTGGAAACCAGTTACTAAAGAAGACATTAGGGCGTACTTAGGTATTTTGATCATGATGGGCTTAAATCCGCTTCCAGATATGGAAGTAATCTGATCCAATTAACTGCAATAAATAAATCTCAGACATATTTCCAATAGTCAGGTTTAAGAAAATTACAGAAAATATCCACCTTAATGATAATAATTTGCAACCATCAAGAGAATCGGATCCATACGGTAAATTATACAAAGCCCTTTTATCTCAAAGTTAAGCAAAATTTGTCAAAACAAGTCACATAATTCGTTTATGCAGTCAATAGATGAGTGCATGGTCAAATTTAAAGGCCGTAGCACTTTAAAACAATATATGCCTAAAAAGCCCATTAAACGGGGTTTTAAAATATGGGCCCCTTGTGACACTAAGATTTTACCACTTGTTATATTAATGAAGTTGACGCCATACTTATAATTATCATTAACATTATAATAGAACTTCCCGGAGCGTCGGTGCTTTACGACAGCTTTTGCAGTCCGTAAACATGTTCAAGATCATCCCCGCCATTACATTAGATTCGATAAACCACAACTCCTCACAAGCGAACATTTCCTCTTACTGTGCAAGAGTACTTCTACTACTTCGTACTGGGTATCTGTATAAATTTGAATTATACACCGGAAAAGGGGACGGTATAGAAAACGAAGGTCTTGGCTACAACGTCGTAATGAATATGTGTAATGATGTGCCTAAACACACATGCGCTTTTGACAACTTCTTTACTATTTGTAATTTGTTATAAAAACTTTATGAGAATGGAATCTACGCAGTTGGAACAGTTCGAAGTAACAGTTCCTGAAATGATAAAAAAACAACCTTAAGAGTTGAGATTAGCTAAAACCTAATTTTCAGTTGTTACAGCAGAGCCAATTACGGCAATAAAGTGGCTTGATACGAAATAAATCACCGTACTTACAACTGCACATCAGCCACGCGATATGGTACTCGTAAAAAGGACTCAAAAGGATGGCTATAGAAAGGAAATTTTTGCCCGAAAGCTATTGCACCGTATACCCTCAGTACGGGCGGAGTAGATCTTTTCGGTCATTTTCAGTCTTCATATCCGATTAGTCGAAAATCACGAAAATTTTGGATAAGACTTCTTTTTTCTTGATGCTTCCATTATAAATGCATTTATTACGTACAACTACACACATGTTATGACTTTACACGGACTTCGAAAATTTAGATTACGTTTGGCACGTTCACTGACAAACATCTACACAACTAGGAAATAACATGTACAACAATGTCTTTTGCATAAAAATAAAAAAGGTGGTGTCTTCGGCGTACCAGATGAGATTCGATTATTGAACGTGGGCATACACTTGCCAGAAGAAATTAGTACTTATTAAAGCAGATACTGCAGTACAGAAAAACTAGAAAAGAGAACAAAAGTTCAATGTTGTACTTGTAAAGTTGCATTATGTGCCAAAGGGTGCTTTAACCCTCTGTAACGTATGGTAGACTACAGGCAACATACCGTTTCACCTTTCCTAAATTCTCCAAGTAAAATTAATTCGTTTTTTCAAGCAATGTAGAGTATTGTCTACACTCTCTTCTTTCAATTTAGTACAAGCATGTCAAACTAGATGTCGCTACTTGCCTCAAACAACGAAATATCGTTAGTGAAGTGAAAAGTTTCAAATGCTCAGAGTATGTTAAAAGACAAAAAATATAAGAAAATAGCTATTTTGTTTTTTGGTGTTTCTTTTCTTGATAATCTGTAAGGTAAGTGTTTATAGTTTACCATATTATTATATTTTTGCTGATAATTTACAGTTTTTATGTATTAGGTGACTATTAGTGTTTGTGTCTTGTAGGCTACATTGTGCGGAAAGGGGAACTATCTTGTACGAACACTGTGGATATTTACACTCGTTATTATTTTGTTTTAGCATGGCTCACCAAATTCACCTAAATGAAAACGAAATCGCCTGCGCACTTCAATGTGATTTAAGTGAAGATGGACTCGACTTAGATGACGATAGTTTGATGGATCCTGACTTTGAACCAGATTTTGAAGAGTCGATTGACGAATCTTTGGAAGCTGAATTCGACATAGATGCACTAGTAGACACCTTGAATGATGACGACCGTAACTCCAACTTTGAGGTAGAAGTAGGGCCGGCCTTATCTAGTTCAGACATTCCAGGTACTTCAGATCCCCCTGTAAAACGTCGAAAGCCTGAAAAGCTAACATTACGGTGGAAAAAGAAGAATTTAGAGCTGAATGCACAGCAGCTGGCTTTTACTGGCAATGAGTCATTGAGTTCTGATATCTTGGACCTTGATACTCCAATACAGTTCTTTCTTTTTTTATTTCCACCAGAACTCATAAAGAGAATTTCGGAAGAGACAAACCTCTACGTGGTACAAAAAGACCCAAACAGCACGTTTCGTGTATCGGAGACAGAAATGCGTCAATTTATAGGGGTAGTATATATGATGTCACTGATTCAGCTACCCAGAGTGACCAACCACTGGAGTTCCGTCTTGGGTACACCTGTAATTCAACAGACCATGCCTTCTAATAAATTTGAAAAGATTAGACAATATCTGCATTTTAATGATAACACTAAATGTCTACATAGGACCCACCCTGACTCCGATAGGATCTTCAAAATTCGCCCAGTCGTTGATGCCTTGAACGAATCTTATGGTAAAGTTCCATTAGAAAAACAACTTTGTGTAGATGAGCAAATTTGCTCTACAAAAGCGCGTAACATGCTGAAAAGGTATAATCCCAAGAAACCGCATAAGTGGGGTTATAAATTATATGTTTTAAGTGGTGTTTCCGGTTTTGCTTATACAATAGAGATTGAATCTGGCAAAGAAAATGTTGTCAGACCCGACGAGCCAGATTTAGGAGCTTCTTCCAATGTAGTAGTGAGATTATCGCGTATGATTCCGCGACACCAAAATTACAGGCTCTATTTCGATAACTACTTCACATCCTTGCATCTTTTGGAATATTTAGCAAAAGAAGGTATTCTTGGGCTAGGTACTATTAGAAGGAATAGAATACCTGACTGCAAGCTGTCGTCAGAAAAAAGAGATTATGAAGAAAGATCGAGGATATTCTGAAGAGTACATAGCTGATGTCAACGGCGTCGACGTGTCAACGGTTGTATGGAAGGACAATAAGCTTGTTACATTGGCTTCCACATTTGCTGGTCTAAATCCTATAAGCGAAGTCCGGAGATACGACAAAAAGAACTCAAGATACATAAACATCCCGCGACCTAATGTTGTGAGCGAGTATAACCGTCATATGGGCGGTGTGGACCTTGTAGATAGCATTATGGGCATCTACAAGATAAAACTGAGAAGCAAACGTTGGCAGATGCGTCTCTTCTATCACTTCTTAGACCTAACAATGGCTAATGCATGGCTGTTCTATAAAAGAGTCTGCAAGTATAAAAACATTCCCAACAAGACCATCATGGCATCTGCAGATTTTCGCCTGGAAATTGCCGAAACATTGTGCAAGATGGGGGTGAAAACGGGTTTAACAATACGCCGATCTATTGAAGGTCAAATCCTAGCAAAGAAACACAAAGGACCTGCCCAACATGTACCTCCACAAGCAGTCCGCCAAGATCAAGTCGGTCACTGGCCTCAATGGGCAGAAAAAAAAATCCGTTGTAAGTTCCCAAAGTGTGCTGGATTTACTCATACGGTGTGTGATAAATGCGGCGTAGCTTTATGTTATACCAAAAACAAAAATTGTTTCAGGAATTTCCATCTGTTGTAACTGATTTACATTCTTCTCAATTAAAGTGATATTAACTAATTTTTACTGTTGTAACTCATTGTTGCCTAGGAGCTACACTCCCTTTTTTTGTAGTATTATGCTTGATTTATAAAAAATTACATAATTTTAAAAAATACGTATTTTATTAATTTCATAATCCTATCCGATTCCATGAAAAATATGTAATTTAAAGATTTTGAGTTATAGAGGGTTAAATCGTTTCATACGGTCATGACGATTTAAAATTTTCATTTTAAATTGATTTTAAAATGTTCATTTCGCTGTTCACTTCTTTTTTTAGTAAAAATTCTTTCAACTGATTTAAATATCTTTATTTTTAAAATTATCCCTTACACGTAATATTTTGATAAATTTTTGCAATAAACTTTGTAATAAATTTCTATAAAGTAAAAAGGAAACTGTGAGGAACTAACTAGTTAATTTGATAAAATATTTGTTTTCGGATGATGGAAAATAATTTCCCACTCAAACGGCTATTCTGCAATGCGGTTACGAATAATGCGAAATTATTTCCCACCGTAAAACTACCCCCTATCCACCCTTTAAAATGTTTCATAATGAATTTTGAAATCTACGGATCAAACTCACCCAAAAACCATTCTCAGATTTCGCTTTTCGCAAAAAAAGTGCGTTTGATTAAGGAATATATTATAAGCAAATTTCAGTAGAAGTATAACCTTAGCATTCCTATATAAACTAAACCGAATTTCACACTCCTACGACTCCTCTGTGCCCAATAAATAAAGGGGTAAAATTTCAAAATATTTACGAGAAGATCTCGCGCGCCGGACGATTACTTTCACGCACCGCACTCTTTGCATTATATTGCTAATATTTTAATAATATTTTTAATCAATTCAAGTGACGACGAGAAACGAAAACGAAATCCAATAATAGAATTTTAAATTCACAATAGAATTATATTACATCTTATAAGAAAAAAAAAGCACTCGGTAGAAATGGGGCGCCATAGTATTTCATTTTCTTATATAAAACAAAAAAGGGAAAAAGTGAACCCCCAGTAACATGCTACGAAAATAAATACTTCTGAGGTAAAGTTTGCTTAACGTTAATTATTTTATAGACGGTACTTGCTCATTATTCAGCAAAAACTTAAGTTCGTATCCGACGACTTTGTACTGAATTAGTAACGTTAAGTTGAAAATTGTTTGCTTAGCTGAGTCAGGTGTAGGGTAAAACTAGGGCTGATGCCCCAGTTTTCGAAAGAGCCTCACTATTTTAATACCAAATATATTGGCATAGATTATCCTTGTAATATAATTAGTTTAATCATTTTTATATCCTTTAAAATCTGTATTTGTTTACCTATTACTGGTTATGCCAAAAATGAATTCCAGCGAGACAGTTTGTTGGGAGATATGGCTCACTATGAAATTGCTTAGAAGGATCGATGCCTATGATGAGGGATAGATTCCCTTTTAAATAATCAACAAGAATATGTAATTACAATGTAAGTTTTATATATAATTTATTATAGAGAGTACATAAATACACACAATATCATGTTATTCTAGTGTCCAATCCAGTAAAATGGATAAATTGAATAGAAGCTGAAATCAAAGCGATATTACGGTAGCGATAATTTCTTACGTAGAGGCTGACATCATCAATATACTATATAGTACAAACGATAGATTTTGTTTTGCACTGAAATAATTTTTAGTTATAGATCTAACTCTGCAAATGCTACTATTTTATTCATTTATTTACTTGCTTTTTAAGGGAAACATACAGTACAATAAAAATACATCATAAAACATATAAAAGTAATCCTAAAACCAATGGAGTTTCCACAGATATCAAATCTAACAAATAATCTAAAAAAAATAATCCTTCCATTACAGCCTTTAAAAGTTCTCTGCTAAACAAAAAGGCCTTCCTTATAGGGAGAATTTTGGCAAAGTTGTCACGCTTGGATTAAGATATTATCGGGAAGTTGCTACTCCTCGTCTTCTGTATTAGTTTCCATCTATTTTTTCCTACACTACAGGTAGTTTTTAGTGTTAGAGCCTTGCACAAAGACGCTATTCCAAATTTAAAAGTGTCTTCCGGGGACGAAGACGCGGTCAAAAGCTAGTAGTAAAAAAATTAAAGAATTTGGCACATGTAACATTATGAGATAATACTAAAGATCACTGCATACGTAACGTGTTTTATCCCGGACGGAGCTGGACGTGAAACTTTGGAAATATCGTTTCATAGAAAATGTACATGATAATGCATACGTAACGGATGCACGGACGGGACGGGGACGTGGCATGAACGGGACGGGACAAAACATCGTCGGCGACGATGTTTACCCCGACGTGCCACGTCCCGTCCGTGGTTCCGCTGCGTATACACAATCGCTCCGTTGGCTACGCAGTGATGCGCGTGTTGTACCGAACGAAATGTATTATGAAAAACTAATTTAATGTGAAAAAAATATTGAAAATAAACACAAAATATAAAAAAATTAGTTTATATTATATTATAAATTTTATTTTCCATTTATGTTGTCATGTCATGTGAAATTAAGTCCATCCAAATGTTCTTTGTAGAGAGTATGGTATGAGTACCAAGAGTGTGGTATGATTAGGAGATGATCAGATCAGATCAGATCAGGTACAGAAAATTTCCTTTTACTCTTGACTGTTGTAGCTTCTTTATCATCTGAAGCAATAGCAATTAATGCTAATTCTTTAAATAAAAAATACATCTTTCACAACACTAGCACTTTATTCACTATGCATATAGCACATGAGTCACTGTCACTGTTCGTATGCATTAAACTCCCATCCGTGTTGACATACAAGCACGTTCCGTCTCCATCCCGTGCACGTACCGATTCCGTCCTGAATGCAACGACCTTTTAATGTTAGGTTTGCTAGTCTCTCCGTTTTAAAATGGAACTAGCCTTCTACGTGAGTTTAAAAAATAATATACTGGAAAACCAGAGATGCCGTTATTTTTAATATTGAGCATATTATATAAGGAATGTTTTATGGAATAAGGTTTACAAACGGGCACTCAGTCCACCTGAAGGTAACCAATGCTGAAACTTATAGACATCTACATTTATTCTCATTTAACAATCAAAATGCAGTCACCCTTGAGGACTAAGATGGAATGCCTCATTCCAAAGGTTTCCGGTTCTCTGCACTCAAAACATGAACCAAAGCATTAATCCTTTATTTTACTGGTATTGTGTGCGTGCGTGGTCCTTCCTCGGTCGAGCCAACCCATTCGTGCCACAACCATGATATAGCTACAGCATGGCTCTATCAGGTATAAAATATATACATACATACATTGAACGGTGTTAGCTTAGGAGCTAAGTGATTGCTGGAAATTTCAATAGAAATTGAAAATTTTAAAGCTGATTTACCACCATTTATCTCAGCGGTGAAGAAAAACGTCGTAAGGAAAGCTACATTTTTCGAATATACTTTAATATATCTAAGACACGTCATGAAGTTTCTTCGATAACAAATAGATCAACGTGATGGACCGATGGATATCGAAGAGATTATGTCCGTCGGACATTGAGAGCGGGTCCGTTGCTAGCAGTGGGATATTTATAACTGCCGACGGGGGTACCGCCTCATTTTCCCCGTCTGCTACTGTAGGATTTTTTTAATACACAAGAGAGAGCAAACGAACATGCGGCTCATCTGATGATGACTACCGCCGCTCATTAACAACTGTAATACCTAGGTAATTCAATTAATTTCAAAAAGGACTAGACTTTTTTGTTGAAGGTTCCTAAGTCTTATCGATTCGATAAAACCGCTGGAGGTAGTCGATTCCACGAGAGAGTTATGCGAGGTGCCTGTTGTAAATTGCACAATGCCTGACCGCCAATAATCCAGATAGTGTGGATTGTAGTGCGAGTTTTGTCGCGATGTGCGATGGTGAAAATGAGCGGCTGGGATTAGTCCGAAAAATTCCTCCAAGCAATACTCTTGGTAAATGATATTGAATATGTAAAGGGATGTAACATCTTTTCGCAGGGCGAGTAAATCAAGCCGATTAGAAAGAACTTGTTCGCGGTTGATTCTAACAGCTCTACGCTAGATACAATCAACTGTAACGAGGTGAACCCCTCGCTTGTGTGGTGATGCTCTGTACACGGGCCGTGCTAATATTTCTCGGGAAAACGTCTCCGAATACCGGGGAAAACTTGTGTCTAAAGTCGAGTCTTTGCTGAACAGAGTCTCGGATTGGGGGCGCCTAAATCTAGTCCAATTTAATCCCCAGAAGACACAGGTTCGCGCGTTAACCGCTAAAAAGAACCCTTTTGTCGTATCTCCCCAGTTTCAAGGCACTCCCCTTGTTGCCTCAGCCAGTATCGGTATCCTCGGCGTCGACATATTAAGTGACGTGCAGTTTCGTGGTCACTTGGAAGAGAAGGCCAAATTGGCCTCTAAAAAGCTTGGCGTGCTCAGCAGAGCGGGACAGTATTTCATGCCGGCACACCGCCTGTTACTTTACAAGGCGCAGGTTCCGACACACATGGAATAACATTCCCATCTCTGGGCTGGGGCTCCCCAGTACCAGCTCCTTACACTTGACCGCATCCAGCGCAGAGCGGCTCGAATCGTCGATGACTGAGTGCTTTCCGATCGGCTCGATTCACGGGCGTTGCGAAGAGATGTTGCATCCCTTTGCATTTTCTTTCGCGTATACCACGAGGAGTGCTCTGAAGAATTGTTCGGATTAATCCCAGCCGCCAAATTTCGAGAACGCACTACGCGGCAAACGTCCCGATAGCATCCACACCATCTGGATGCTTGGCGGTCCACCACTGTACGTTTCACAAGGAGTTTTCTTCCGCGTACAACCTCTCTGTGGAATAGTTTACCACCGGCGATTTTTCCGGACCGATACGACCTGAGGGCCTTCAATAAAAGAGATTACTCCTTTCTAAAATGCCGGCAACGCACCAGCGATTCCCCTGGTGTTGCGGTTGATCATGG